ATCTCGACATTCAGGACCTGGGTGCCTCCTTGTCGGGGTGGGACTCACTCTCTCCCACCCACCAGGGTGACGCTGGACTGGCAGGGTCAAAGGGCGACAAGGTGAGTGCAGCAAAGGTGTGGGGCAGGGCGGGCCTGGGTGCGCTGACCCCCTGACTGCCCCCATCCACTCAGGGTGACTCAGCTGCTGCCATAGGGCCTCCGGGGCCACGGGGCACCAAGGGGGACACGGTGAGTGGGTCTGGCCTGGGTGTGGGGATGCTCCTCGGTGCTGGGCCTGGGGTCTGAGCTCCTGGACCCTTGACCCTCTGGTCCCTGATCCTGACTTCTGATTGCGACCCAGGGTGAAAGAGGGCCTCGGGGCATAGATGGTGATGAAGGACCTCGGGGAGCCAGTGGGAGCCCCGGCGAGAAGGTACTGGAGGAGGGCGGGGTGTCCTGGGTGGGGTCAGGAGCCGGGCCTGGGGCTGCAGGCTCTGTAAGGGGGTCTGTGAGGGAAGGGAGGCTCTCTGGGGGGTGCTGAGGGGTCCCAAGGGGAACGTGTGGGCTGTGGCTCTGTGAGGGACCCTCTGGGAGCAGACGGGGCTCCTTGGTATCCAGGGACCTCCGGGCTGGTGTAGCAGCCCCGTGGTAAGAGGAGCTGCAGGACGGGCGGTGCTGGGTGGCGTGAGCAATCTCTGCCCCGGCCAGCAGCTCTGAGCCTCCAGTGGGGCCCAGACCTGACTTGGTCTCTATCCTGGTCACTCCCACAGGGTGCCAAGGGAGAGCCTGGCGACAGGGGCTCAGCCGGGTTGCTGGGAGCACGTGGACTCACTGGACCCAAGGCAAGCCCCACCCTGCAGAGACCCAGAGCCACCCTAGGCTTGCTGTCCCCTGGGCGTCCCTGCAGGCTGCTGGCCTGCCTGGCAGTGGCCGCCCCGTGCGCACGTGGGGCCCGTGCAGCCTGGGCCCTGGCGGCAGGTCACTGAGTGGCTGCTCAAGCAGCAATGGGCCAGTGTGGGGACCATGACGCTCAGGGGCTGCCCTCCCCCCCGTCTGTGTCTCCGTAGGGTGAGCCTGGTGCTGCAGGGACCCCTGGGGACCCGGTAAGATACCCTGTCCCTGCGTGGTGGCTTTAACCCTAGAGTGGCCCACTGCCCTCATGGCCCGCCCCATCCTTCGTGGTAGCCCTGTGGCACTGGCATCCATGTGGTGACGCTGTTCCCCTGGAGAGCTCTGCCCCTGCGTGACTCCCTTTGATCCCTCACTGACCTCTGACTTCACGGAGACCACTCTCTCCAGGGACCCCCAGGAAAGGATGGAGCCCCTGGTGTCCGAGGAGACAGAGGAGATGCTGGCTTCATGGGTCCCCGGGGCCTCAAGGTGCGAAGGGCGCCAGGTTCTTCCTGGCCAGGAGGGCCTGGGTCGGAGGTCAGCTGCTCTGGGGCCTGAGTGGGGAGTGTTAGTTTAGATGCTGGAAGGTCAGAGGAGGCTGGGGTGTCTGAGACCAGTGGAGGGGTTCCATGGGCTTACAATGTGGGGCCCCCAACTCACCTTTCCACCTGCTTTCTTCCCTCAGGGCGAACGGGGGCTCAAGGGAGCTTGTGGCCTGGACGGAGAGAAGGGAGATAAGGTAGGAGGTCAGGGCGTGCGGGCAGCTGCGGGGCCTGGGCCAGAGGCTGACCCTCTACCTGATGCCCACAGGGAGATGCTGGTCCCCCAGGCCGTCTGGGGCTGGCAGGTCGCAAGGGAGATGCGGTGAGTGTGGCCCACAGAGCGGAGGGGAGGGGAGGGGAGGGGAGGGGCGGAGGCCAGCTCCTGTGTCCTCTTCTCTAGGGCGAGCCCGGTATCCCCGGCCAGTCTGGGGCCCCTGGGAAGGAGGGCCTGATTGGTCCCAAGGTATGGAGACCTCAAAGGTGGACCTGAGAGGGTCAGGAAGAGGCGGGGAGGTCAGGGTTAGGTCAAGGGTGTTATGTCCAGAGGCTCGGAAGGTTGGGACGTGGGGGGTAGGATGGGGCTGGTCTTGAGGTGTTGGGTGGGCCAGGGTCCCGGGGGGATTTAGGCAGAAGAGTCGGGAAGGGGAGCAGGGCTGGAGCACCAGGGCCCCAGGGCTTGATGGGCGGGGTCATGGGGAGGTTGGGTGTCAGTGTGCAGGAGCTAGGTGGGGTCCGGGCAGGGGATGTTAGGTGGGGCCGGGTGGCAGGGCTGGGCAGGTGACGGGCACGCAGTTGAGCCCGGTGGAGCCTCATGCTTCTCTCCACCCCAGGGTGACCGAGGCTTTGATGGGCAGCCAGGACCCAAGGGCAGCCAGGGGCAGAAAGGGGAGCGGGTAAGTTGAGGCCCAGGCCATGGTGAACTGAGGGGCCTGTGCTCTCTGGAAGTGGGCCCATCCTTGGGGACTCTGGTCATGGACCCTGATCTTTCTCTCCCCAGGGGACCCCAGGAATTGGGGGCCTCCCAGGTCCCAGGGGCAGTGATGGCCCTAGTGGCCCCCCTGGGCCACCTGGCAGTGTCGGTCCTGGAGGCCCTGAAGGACTTCAGGGCCAGAAGGTGAGGAGCCTGGCTGACCGCTGACCTCTGAACCTCCCTGACCTGCCAGCGCCTAATGCCCCTGCCCCCCTGGAACCTGTGCTCCCCACCTTGCCCTGCTTCTGGCCCCACTGCCCCTAACCCCTAACCATCAGGGGGCTTGTGTCTGACAGGGTGAACGAGGGCCCCCTGGAGAGCATGTGGTGGGGGCCCCAGGGGCCCCTGGGACCCCCGGAGAGAGAGGGGAGCAGGTGAGTGATGCCTCCGGAGCCTGGGGTCAGAGATCGGGAGCTCTGCCTTCGCTGAGGTCAGAGCTCACAGCCTGTCCCATGCGCGGCACACAGGGGCGTCCGGGACCCATGGGCCCCCGCGGTGAGAAGGGAGAGGCTGCGCTGACGGTGAGTGGCCTGGGGTGGGCCCGCCCGCCCCCGCCCGCCCCCGCCCCCGCCCCCGCCCGCCCCCGCCCTCTGCACCCAGCACCCTGCCCGCTCCCCACCCTGCCCCTCCTGGGAGTGCTGGGCTCTCCCTGACCCTTGTGGTCTTGTGCTCCCAGGAGGATGACATTCGGGCCTTTGTGCGTCAGGAGATGAGTCAGCATTGTGGTGAGTGGGCCTGCCCAGCCCAGAGTCTCGGGTTCCATCCCCACTCCACCCCCGGCGCCCACACAGGGGCAGGTAGGGATCCTCGAACAAGGGCCAAGCAGTCAAGGGGCTGGGAGGAGATGCACACAGGGCAGACGTGCTGAGAACTCCCCAGGTGGGCACCTGCGGGCCCTGGGGGGCCCCATGGGCATCAGAGAGCCAAGCGCTGTCCCCTCTGTTCCTGCCAGCGCCCGAGCTCCCCCTGCCCTGTGCCTCCCTTGCGCTCTGCTCGCCTGTCCCCTCTGTGCCACTCCCCACCTCCCCAGCTCTCCTGCTGCCCTCTGTGCCCCTCCCGTGTGCTGCTGCTCCCCCTGCCCCCTTCCTCTTCTGTGTCTCTCACTGTCTCTCTCCTGCCCTGCTCCGCCCTCCCCAGCTTGCCAAGGCCAGTTCATCGCATCGGGATCGCGTGAGTAGTTTTCTGGTGTTTTCTGCTCCTGGAACCTCACCTGGGCACTCTGGGCACGGGCTCGGCTGGGGTAGCCGCGGTGACCCCCAGGGATGCTGCCCCTTGCTCCAGGACCCCTCCCCAGTTACGCTGCAGACCCCGCCGGGCCCCAGCTCCACCGTGTGCCTGTGCTGCAGGTCTCCCACATGGAGGAGGAAGGTGAGGACGCTGGGCCCCTGGGTGCGTGGGGGGGACCCAGGGCCCACAGGCAGGGCACGAGCGTGGGCCCTAGTGCCCGCACGGAGGCCCAGCTCTGCGCCTCGCCCCGAGGGCCGGAGTCGGGCAGCGGCCCTGCTCACGGCCCAGCCCACCCTGCACGCAGGCCTGGTGCCCCCCGAGGATGCCGAGTACGAGTACTCTGAGTACTCAGTGGAAGAGTACCACGGCCCTGACCCTCCTCAGGAGGGCAATGGTGAGGATGGGGCCTATGGAGCCAGGCCAGGAGGGCTCCCGTCCCAGCCTGAGGGTGGGCTGAGCCCTGCTGACATCCTGACCCCTCTGGCCAGACCCCTGCTTGCTTCCGCTGGACGAGGGCTCCTGTGCCGCCTACACTCTGCGCTGGTACCACCGGGCTGGGTCAGGGGGCACGGAGGCCTGTCACCCCTTTGTCTACGGTGGCTGTGGAGGAAATGCCAACCGTTTTGAGACCCGTGAGGCCTGTGAGCACCACTGCCCACCCAGGCTGCCCCAGAGCCGGGGCACAGGTATGGGCCTGCCCCACGGCGGGGCCTGGGTCAGCAGCCCCCTCAGGCTGGGGGACCAGGGACATGCCCTCCAGCCAAGGAGCTGGATAGAGATCCCAGGAGTGGGGGTCCTCAGGCGGCCCCTGCGCTCCCTCCTTTGAAGGTTGAGGAAGGCTCCCCCACGGCCGGGGCCCCAGCCACCCTGACCCTGTGCCCAGGGCTTCTCCGGGGGAGGGCAGATGGCTGAAGACAGCTCCCCTCCTGCCCCTCCAGGTGCCCCCCACCGCTGAGGCTGGCGCCCTGCCAGTGGGGTCCCGAGGGTCGCATCTCAGCAGGCTCCCGGACTCTCCCTTGGTGCTAGAAGCCTGTGTGCATGTGAGCATGCACAGTGCGTCCGTTATTTCAGTGTCCGGGCCCGTGGGCCTGGCCTTCCCCTGTGGACAGACCCCCATTGTGGGTCCTGCCTCCCCGGCAGATGACTCATTGTGGGGGTGGCTGTGGGGGTGAGCGGTGTGGCTCTGACCACCCTTGACCCCAGCCTGTGATGACATGGTGCTGATTCTGGGGGGCATTAAAGCTGCTGTTTCAAAGGCCCCTGTTGTGACTATTGGAGCAGGTGGGGGTGTCTGGGGGCAGGCCTTCCCTGGGAGGCCAGTTCTCTCCTGCGTTGGTGCAGAGTCCCTCTGTCCAGCCCTGGTCACTGTCCTATGACCTTCAGTCCCCAACTTGTCCCCAGCAAGGAGCAGACAGTGTGGGGGCTGATCACATGCCGTCCCTGCCCCCCAGGAAGGCATGAGTCACAGGTGGGCTGCCTCACACCAGCAGGCAGGCCCCAGTGAGCTGAGGGAGATAAATGGGGCCTGATGGGGGCACAGGGTCAGACCCCAGCCCAGCACTGCCTGGCCCGGAGTCCCCAGGGGAGGCTGCTGCGGTAGGTGGGGCCGGTCAGGGTGGGGGTGGGCAGCAGGGCCCTGAGAGCCAGCGGGTCTGGGGATCTGGGGTTCGGGCTCAGGGGCCTCTGGTTGCTTGTGTGCCTCAGGAACCTCCACGGTGCCCTTCATCCTGGGTGTTCTCAGACCTCCTCTCTGCACTGCCCTCTGCTCCGTGTTCCTAGTGCGCTGTCGCCTCTGGGGCGGTCTCTGTCCCTTTTCCAGTCTCTCTTGATCTGCTCTGCCTGTGTTTCATCCCCCTCGTATGAAATACATCCAGCCTGACCCCAACACAGCTGCGTCTCCAGCTCTCCGGCCCCCTCTGGCCCCCTCTCGTCCCTGTCTGTCTGTCCCTGACCGGGCCTCTCCTGTCTGTCTGCCTCCCCATCTGCCTCTGTCTGTGAGCCACAGCCAGCCAGAGTGCCTTCCCTGAGCCTGTTTTCTCCCTGCAGCCTGAGTGCACGATGGCCAGGTGGGGTCTCCTTGTGCTGCTGGTCCTGACGTTGGGCAGGGCCCTGCTTGTCCCAGCGACCCCTATCCCAGCCCTCCAGCACCTTCCTCAGAGCTCTCCCCAGGCCACCCCAGGCCTTCTGGCCTCAGGGAGCCCCTCGGCCAGCAGCGCAGGCCTCTCGGCTGCTCGGGCTCCGCCACAGCCAGGCCCCCGCATCACCCTCTCGCTGGATGTCCCCATCGGCCTCCTGCAGATTTTACTGGAGCGGGCCCAGGCCAGAGCGTCGAGGGAGCAGGCCTCTGCCAACGCGCGCATCATGGCTCGTGTTGGCCGCCGCTGAGCCTGGGGGTGGAAGCTGCAATGATGGGGCTCCCCTGCATGGGGACACCAGGAGGGCAGCGGCTGAGCTGGACAGGTGTGTCTGGACGCTGCCATGTGAGGTCGCTGCCATGTGGTGTCGTTTCACATCTGAGTACCTCACGGAGTCACAGTGTCCGGATAGCCAGGACTTAATGCCAGGGGGCTGCCCAGTGGGGTCTTGCCGTGCTGGGAGCCCCACAGATCACAGTATGTCCGGGCAGCTTGGCCACTACTGCAGAAGGTCCCTGCGATGCATGGTCACACCAATGCCACTTTCAGGGGCCCAACACTGCATGAGACTGCTGGTCAGCACCACCCCGGAGGCCACCACGTGGGAGGTGCGGGCTGAGGGTCACACGCACGCTTCCTGCTCCGTGAGGCAGCGCCCAGCCCCGATGACTGGGGCAGTGTGGGTATCTCCAGGCACATACGCTGTCCATGGAGTCTGGCTGTGGCAGCCTCACCTCATGGTTCATGTGTGGCTGTGTCTGTATCTGACGTCATGTGTGTGAGCAAAGCATGTGAGTGGCTGGGAGGAACAGGTGTCACCCTTCAAACCTGCGTGAAGCATGTTCAGCACACAACCAGGACGCGCACCCCGCCTCTGCCTGTGGGCTCAGCCCAGGCAGGGGGTCTCCAGCCCAATGCCACCCCTCCCCAGTGGAGTTGTCCTGAGCTCACCTTTCCCATTCTGTTTCCTCCCCCCTCCGGCCTGCTGCTGGGAGCTCTGGGTGACAGTGTGCAAAGGAAGGCTCAGGCATTCAGGCAGCATTCAATAAACAGCGACTGGAGAAGCCACAGGCTGGACGAGTCATAGTCGTGGGCATGCAGGCAGCCACACAGCAGTGCCGTCACAGCGGGGCACAGCGCACCCTGCCCTCTGCCCCCTCCTATTTCCCTGACCCGATCTCCTGGTGCGGAACTAGGTTTTGCCTCATCATACCCACTCCGTTGGGAGGCTGGAGATGGGACTGACCTTCTGGACAGTGTGGACAGGCTGGCCTGTAGATGGGGCAGGCCCCCGGGGCAGGGCACAGAGCCCCAGCTGGAGTGGCAGGCAGACGCCCAGCAGTGTGGCCAGCTCCGGCTGGGGAGAGGGAAGGCCGGCGGTGTCTGCCCTGTAGGCGGGGGCACTGATCTGACCTGGGCTGTCAGCCGCCCTGGGGGGTGGGGCGGGCCTGGGGTGGGGCTGAAGAGGCGGGGCTGTGCGGCAGAGGGAGGGCTGCATCCTCCTTCCAAGGGGCTGAGGGCAGGGGCCCAGGCCAGCTGGGTGCCCAACGGACAGAGGCATGGGAGGAGGCAGCTCTCTGTCGGACCCCGGGCCAGGGAGCAGCAGGCGGGGTAGGCATGGGTGTGGAGTGGGGGAAGCCGGTGAGGTGGGGATGGTGCTGGGAGGGGCACGAGCTTGTTGGGGTCTCTCTAGGTAGAGAGGTGCTCTGGGGGGCATCAGTCTGTCAGCATGTGGAGGAGGGGAACACTGGCGCCTTGCAGGGGACAGGGGGCTGGGCCAAGGGGGAGCTATAAATAGCCTCTTTCTCCAGCCCAGGGAGCCGGGAGGCCCTGCTGCTGTGCCCTTTGCTGGCTTCCAAGGGGTCGTGTTCATCCAGGTCCCCCTTAGGAGTCACACCAGTCTGGGAAGGTACAGAGGCTCACTGAGAAGGTTTTCATATGAAGTGGCTTTACTCCTTAAACCAGCACTTAGTGTGTGCCTCGTGCAGGTCCTGAGCTGCTCTGAGGACCTACTGTGTGTCCTGTCCTGCTCATGAACCTCTCAAGAGCCCTTACTGTGTGCCCTGTCTGGTCCTGAGTCACTGTGAGCACTGACTGTGTGCCCTGTGCCAGGCAGGAATCACAAGTGCAGACCAGGGCTCACAGGCTGCTTGGTCATGTGGCTTCATATCCCAAGCTGGGTGAGCTCTGGGCCCAGGAGGACAGCGGAGGAGCCTTGGCTAGAAATGGCCAGAGGAAGCTGGAACTCCTGGGAACTCCCTGACCTCCCGGTGGCAGCACAAGGGGACGGAAGCAGAAAGGAGGCTGCAGAGCGGCAGCCCACTGCAGGGCTTGTCAGTGTGTGTGCAACTGTGGCTGCCTGCACGTTCATGCTCTCGTGCACTGGTGTGTGGGTCTGCATGGCATTCGCTGAGGCCCCTGGCCTTTATGCTACAAAGGGTGGCTTGGTGTTTTGGCCAGGACTGGCCGGCAGACACAGGGCCTGAGAAGAATTTGAGCTTTGAGAACTGAGGATCAAGGGCTCCAGGCATCCACCGTGCGCAGCCTGGGGTACTGGAAGGAGGTCTGGTGTCGGTGTGGAGGGCACCACAGGGCACAAACAGGGTCAGGCCAGGCAGGTTCACGGTGGGGAAAGGCTAAGCAGGACACTTACATGCACCAGTGCATGCTGGCAGCCCAGCACACTTCCCATCCTGGGCCAGGAGAGCCGGCTCGTTTGGGGACGGCCCCAAGGAGGGCAGAGCCACGAGGGCCAGTGATTCTACTGGTACCTGCTGACGCTGAGGGAGCAGAAAGCCAGGAAAGCATCTCACTGGAGGAATGAGAAAGAGCTCAGGTGTGGAGTGGGAGGTGTGGTGGCACCAGGGGCAGGGGCAGCGTGGAGGGCTGGGTCCATCTGACTCTGGCCTGCGCCGTGGGCTGGCCCTGCTCCCCCTCTTAGTTTCCAACCCAAGCAGTGGGGCTGTGGAGGGGAGCTGGGATGTCCTCGGGGCAGACGTAGACCCTCACCTTGGGGCGGAGACCCAGGCTTCTCCCACTGCTGACCAGTGGCCTCCCACGGGGTGCAGGGATCCGGGAGGGTGTGTCTGGGTCAGCCCAGGTCAGACTATGTGGGGAAGTGGAGGAGGTGCACAGCCACTGCTCTTCCTAGGAAGTCAGGCTCAGACTGGGTGTGGACATGGCTTCCCAGAGATGGCCCTGGCTGACCCCTAGCCCCTGGGCTTTGAGCAGCACCATAGGAGGCTAAGGAGGTGCCGGCTGGCTGTGGATGCTAGGGGAGGTAGCCTTTGCAATGAGTGCTGGGGGTTGGACAGGGTGTGGGCATATGGTGCAAGGGTCTCTGAGGCCTGGTGGCCCCAGGATGGCCTTTGCAGAGGGCAGGCAGCAGACTGGAGGGCTGGCTTTGTCAGGAACAGAATGAGTGGCTTTGGAGAAGTAGGAAGTGGGCGGGTCACAAGGAGCATCTTGCTCATCAGGAGCCACCAAGGCGGGGGAAGATGAAGGAGGAGGTGGTCTGGGGCAGGGCACTCACTCCCCAGGGCCGGCAGCGAGAGCCGGTTTCAGGGAGGATCCAGGTGGGGTTCAGCCTGTGGGTCTCCTGAACCTCACTTCCTGTGGTGGCAGGACGTCTGTATAGGAGTCGTCTTAAGGGTCCTTGCCAGGCTCCGAAGGGCTGGCTGGGACCAGCCCAAGCGGGGTGTGTGCAGCAAGGAGGCCAACGGGAGCACCGCTGCACCTGTGGGGCCCTGGGTAGGGCCTTGGCGCCTCGCCCCCAGCACCTGGCTCCTACCTGGGCACATTTGGGCGGAGAAAACTTGAGGATGTGTTGATCCTGCCAGGGGTGTGGGGGACAACGCCAGAGGGCAGTGTGACCAGGTGAAGCGGTGTCATCAGCGGGGCCCCGGGCAGAACGTGCACGAAGCTGGGAGAGGCTGGGCTGAGGAGACGGAAGGGGGCTGAGCCCCGGGTTCCAGGACTCCCGGATCTCGCCCTTTCCCCCACTGCCTTTTTGGAGACAGGAGGGAGAGAAATAAAACGGTAATAACCCTGACGTGCTTTAGAATAGACTTCTCGACATACACACTTTTATTCTATAGCAGAATCTTGTAAAAGTTGATGACGTGGCATTTCATTTTCCTGATGAAGAGACAGAGGCTCATTTAAAAAATATGTAAACGTATGACTTAATTGTAACTAAGTTCTGTAAAAGCGAAGTCCTGGAGGGCGACGCGCGCTGCCGCCAGGTCCTCTCGGGAGCTCAGGGGGCTGCGGTCCTGCTCGAGGCCCCCGGCAGTCAAGGCAAGGGGAGAAACTTGACCTCTGCGCGATCTGCCCTGTGCGTCTGTACATGAGCTAAAGGTGCTTCCCCGACCCGGCCGTTCCCGAAGCTGCGGCGCGGCACCGGCGCGAGGACGGCAGCGGGGACCGACCACCACTGCGGGAAAGCCCCACGCCGGTCCTGACGTCACGCGCGACGGGGCGGGGCCTGGCGCCTGCGCAATCCTCCCTGCGTCAGAGGGCGGGGTCTGGCGCCTGCGCAGTCGAGCCTGCGCGTCGGCGCTCCGGGAAGGCCCTCTGGATCCCGGACGCGCTCGGGAAGAACTGGGCATGCGCGGCCGGAGCCGGCCCTCCGGGCAGGCGGGGCGGAGCGAGAGGTGGGGTTTCGGTGGCCCGAGGGCCAGGCTGCGGGGCTGATTCCGCGCAGCGGGGCTCCTTCGGCCCCGGGATGGCGTGCCCGCGGGAACTGACCCAAAACCCCTTGAAGAAGATCTGGATGCCGTACAGCAATGGGCGGCCCGCTCTGCACGCCAGCCAGCGCGGGGGTGAGGCGGCGCCGCGGGGAGGGAGGGCGCTGCGCGCGGACGGGTGTAGGGCGGCCGTGACCGGCGGCAGCGCCCCCGCGCAGGGGAGGGCCCGAGACAGGCGAGGGCCTGGGGCCCGGGGTCCGTGGGGCTGCCGTGACAGGTGGGCAGGGGCCGGGGACAGGTACGTGGCAGCCTCTCGGGGCCGGGTGATCTGACCGGGTCTGAGCTGTGCCGGCCTTTGGGGAATGGCTTGGCCTCTCTGAGCCCAGAGCTTTCAGAGGGCCTCCCGTGGAAGGAAGGGCTCTCCTTGGCCACCTCTGGGTCCCAGACCGAGTTTTGGGAGAAACTGCAGGGACGTGCAGATGTGTTTGGGATAGAGACAGTTGACAGCACCGTGCCACGTGGGCCTGCCTGCCCTGCAGGTGGTGGGGGAATGGTAAAACTGGAGGGTGGAGCATGTAGGAGACATGCCAAAATTCGCACCTTTGCTGGGGTCCCCACCTCTCCACCCCCGTGCTGAATTCACTTACTTGACTTCCTGCTTGTACTTAATGAGTCTGCAACCTTTTTATTACCAATAAGATTTGTCTCAGGAGTAGCGGAGACACTGTAATGAATTGACAAGTCCGCAAGGACCTCAGAGAACGTCTAGTCCAACTGTGGTGCAGACGTAGAAAGGGGGTCAGGAAGTCGCCCTGCTGGGGGTCTCCCTGCACTGCTGACCTCTACTTGGGCACAGAAAGGGGGCAGGGGAGCCCCTGCTTGTCCTTCCTGGAGGCTGCAGTGTGAGTCCTGGGGGAGGGCTGTGTGCATCTGTCGCCCCGTGGAGGGTCCTGGCAGGGAGGTGAGGTGGCGGTCATGCTCCTTGCCCTGGGGCCTTGGCCCTCCTGTCTGCACAGCCTGTCTGTTAGGGCTGCCGCTGTCCCATAGGGGAAGCAGTGAGAGAACCCGGAGCCCAGTCGTGGCTCAACTGTGTGGCCTTGGGTGAGGAAGCTGGCCCTCTGGGCCCAGGTCCTCATCAGGGACAGAGACAGTCACCATCCCTGCCCGCGGAGCTGCCCTCTAACAAGTAGGTGCTTGGTAAGTGGCGGCAGATGAATTTGTTGCCGCTCATTCTGTGCTTCTCCCGTACCTCGGTTGGGGATGGAGGAGAGTGCCCCCAACCAATCCCATTCCCAGC